CAATGGTGATCAAAATTATCACCGAATGTCCGAAAACAGCGCATTCCCTATCACAGACTTAAAAATCGAATTCAATGCGGTCCCATTCAATCATTCAATCACCGTAAGTGGTGGTGTCTAGTCCAGCAGCAGCAGTAGTAGTAGCAGCAGCAGCAGCAGCAGGAGTGCTTTCAACAACAACAACAACGAAAGGTTGCCTGCAAGCAGCGAGCTGCACAGCTCATATGAGAAGAAGGAAGAAGTCCCACAGCTAGGCTAGGATCGAAATCAGTAGCTCGTCGTGCTCAGCTCAGCATTACTCAACCAGCACTACAAAATGGTCCTTTTCAGGACCACCATAAATTTGTTAATAGTATTATTTGGACATTTGTCAAGGTCATCAGTTCCAGCAAGCAGCTAGCTATCAAGGCTCAACCTGGTCTCTATAGAAGGTGTGGAATTGTAGGCCCGAATGTATTGGTGAGATTAATCATCGGTCGACCATTTTCCAGAACACGCTGGTAGGAAGTGTAAAAATCCATATAGAATTTGAGAGAAGTGGGAATAATTCACTTTGGGTGTATATTCAGTCCCCAGAAAGCCAATAAAATCAAATTTGTGAGAAAATTAGCTCCACGAGTTCAATTTCCCTCCTTTTTTACATATTCTGCACAAACGATACTTTCCGCCCGCCCCATTCATATAATTCGAAAGGAAATCCTGTGAGGGGTGAATTGAATACACTTTAATACCAAAATGCACAAAACTTAAAAATTCATAAATAACAAAAAAATCAAAAAACACATTTTAAAGTCGGGTAGATGAATCGAAAATACTCAAGTTGACAATCCCTTGGATTCTCTACATCAACTTTCTCTTTGAAATAAATACTACAAATTTGTTCGCTTACAAATAAAAAACGGAAAGAGTTAAGATAATTGATGATTGATCAATTAAAAGAACTAAATGTTCACATTTGTTCCGTCCACTAGCGGTCCTACGTCAAACTTCCGTTCGTGCCCCTAGGCACAGACCCTTCTACTTTTTTTAGTCTTTTACAAAACCATGTGCATGTTTTTAACACACCAAAGTATGCCTTAAAGATTTATCTTGAATCTGAATGTGAACATTTTGGAAACAAGGTTATGTGGAATTAGTAGAAAAAACATTGTGATAGTATTCTGTATATTCCATCAATTTACTTAGCTGCATAATTTTACATTTCACGTTGATCACGATGGTTGACGAAATAAATAAACTAAACTAAACCCAGCAGGGAGGCAGCTCTCACACCTGGACCTTACCTATCGACCCATCAACCCATGAACCGGGGACCAACGGCTTCACTTCCCTTCGGAAGGCAGGCGTGATCAGAGATGTTATGCCTCAAAACATCCCGGTGGCGCCGACTGGGATTGAACCCAAGCCTGTTGGGGTGAGAGATAATCACGCTTACCACTACACACTAGCGCCGCTAATCAATTCTACTTATTCACACCATTAAGCTGAACATCCAATAGTATATTAGGAACATTCAAGTCTGAGGGAGTGTAAGCAAACTTTCCCTCCTAAACTTTTCCACAGAAAAATCTTTCTCCATTTGGACACGTTTCAAAACACATCGTAGATTTCCTAACACATTCCTTAAACCCAACCTTTTCCACATCAGAACATCAAGTCCATGTTCTCATCCTAGATTTGTCATCAAGTGTGAAGTGTGAAATCACAGCAACACTTGAAATCGTTACAGCAGATTAGCCCGTACCTACGGACAGTTTCAATCATCCATACAAAGCAATAAACTTCAAGTGGTACAACAGCGCTTGACCAGAACTGTAGAACATGCAAAAAGTATCCAATTTCCACACCGCTAGGGCACTCACTCTATCTATGTTTACATTCCCCATCTTTTGTCATCTTTTCTATGCACCATTCATCTACATGCTAGAACCATCGGTACGTAGCGATCAGAATGCTAACTACAGATTCGTTATTATTTCACCGAACGCTAATCCACATTACTAAATGTGTAAATTTGATGTAACTAATATAAACCCAAAAACTGAACTGAATAAAGAATTTCTAGGTTACTTATTCGAACCGGAAGGTTATCGATTTATTCTTTTATGAAATATGACCTCTGAAGTTTTATCTACCACAGAAGTGAAGTGGGGGGGCTCCCTTAGCTCAGTCGGTAAAGGCGCAGCTACAAAGCAAGACCATGCTGGAGGTGGCTGGGTTCAATTCCCGATCCGGTCTAGGAATTTTTCGGGTTGGAAAATTTCTCGACTTCCCTGGGCATAGAAGTATGATTGGACTTGCCACACAATTATACCAATGCAAAAATAGTACAGGCATCGAAAGCTCTCAATTAATAACTGTGGAAGTGCATCTAGAACACTAAGTTGAGAGCACGCAATAAGCTAATATGCGATATGCAATAAGCTTGAAAAGCGAAGAAAAAAAAAAAGAAGTGAAAACATATGAATTTCTCTCAAAAATACATCGTATCTTCCCGAGCAAAGTCTGAGATCAAATTGAAATCTAAATTTGATATTGTGATTTCGCTGATAATGAATACAAAGGTTGCTGTCGTTTTGGTCGTTTTAACGGTTAAATTTTCAAAATTTAGAGCAAAAAGATCTTCCTGTGACATCACATTGAAAACTATTTCTACTATCAGTGAGAGCAAACTGAAAACTCAATTTGATATCAATTTTTTATGTTGATTACAAACCAAGTTTTCAATTTGATGTTATGCTAAGGTAATGAAAACAAACCCGTAGCAACATATTTTTGAAGAGCAAATGTACAACAAAATTAAAACAAAATTTAGTATCAAATTATGATTTCAGTTTGATATTGATATCAAAACTTGATTTCAATTTGCTGTCATTTTGATGCTGGACTTTGCTCGGGTTGTGTGTGTCAGATGGGAGCGTTGGACAAATAGAACTGCGAATAATTTGATCAAATCTAATGTTCCGTAATGGTGCCCTTTATGTCATGAATATCAGTACTTTAAAAAAGATAACTTTTGAGGCAAGACAAGGCGTCCTCAACAAATTTAAGGAAAAGGATGTTCTAATGTCCACTACAGGTACAGCAAAACATCACATAGACGCAACTAATAGCACTAGAAGGAATAGAAGGAATAGAAGAGCAACAACAGCCAACTGAAGCTTGAACCGGGTACCTGGGCAATCCAAAGTACCCTTGGCAACAGACGATGCCCTGTCTTATTTAGTTGTTGAATATTTATGTTGTAATGGAATACATTTAATTTTTATTAAATGGATGGATCTCACGAGATTTTGCGCCGGATTTTGATCGTCTCCAAACATAATGTTATGCTGACCGCCCACTTTCACCACTGCTCTTTCAGAATTCTATATACCTCTTACACTCACAATACCGATTCCATATACCAAACATCCACTACCATCATGATTTTTGTTTTTTTTTCTGAACTCAAGCCATCCTACATCTTCAAAATTCCCAACAGCTTTTCTCGCACTCCCACTGTTATTCTATAACTTCGATACCAGTCTAAAGAAGCCCTTATGCTAATAGAAACCCTTCAAGCTCTTTCCTTACCCTCTTTTCCTTCTCCAACCACCGTCGAAGGAACGGCAACACTCTGTCCTTCCTCAACAAAACAAAAACGCTACTCAATGTTCCACAAAACATAAAAACGACTAAATCAACGCCATCAAAACCACTAACGATAACGTTTTTCAATACAGGAAAATCACTGACGCGAAAAAAAAAGCGGAAAAATATTGACAGCTCCTTAAGGGGGACACCTGTTCGTGGATTTTATAAAGTATTTTTTTTTTTGCGTTTTCGGCATCCTTATACCTTTTAGAGTGTTGTGTATGTTGTGAATGGAATAGCAGAATGAATTTTAATCGTTGTTAGTCTTGCGTTAAACGCACTTAATTATAACTTTCTCGAAACCATATTGTTTACCTTGCGGGACAGGTATCTCGGAGGCTATTCGATCAATTCTTATGATCCATCTGAATTATTTAAAACCTAACAAAGGATTCTTCTGATATTCTGAATATCGAAAGAAACTGTGTTGGATTTAGATATTTTAATGAAAAACTCAAAACAACTCCAATGATTCAGTGCTGACAACGCTGTCCCGGAAGCGAAAAAAAAACATAACCTGCATATGTTTGGTTACAGGGCTGCCAACAGCGCAAAAATCTAATATTTGGCAGAAAATCTTCCCATTCTTCATTCTTCATTCAACGATCAGAAAATCACTCATTGTGACTCTTGGAATGCAAAATTGCCAGATATTATATTTACAGCACATTGCTTACAATCACTTACACTAGAAATAGAAAATATCATTATAACATCTTATGATTCCATAATAGCCTACATTGTGCTTCTAAATGACTAGAAAATATTCATAATACATTTTCCTCCAAGCATGTTCAGTTTGTAACGACCCATTCCTGGTATCAACTGTTTAGCTCAAAGTAGATTAAGAAATTCCGAGAAGATAGCCCAATAGTCTACTGTCTATAAATTTTTGTGTGAAATGAAAACAGCCCATCCATAATTCATTCCAAACCAACCGATAGACAATCCAACAAAGGTCACCTGGCGAAAGGTCCCAGCATTCTACTACTAAGAAGTATCTATTAACCTGAAATCCGCTCGAAAGATAAACAAATTCCACCTAACCAAACAATGCAAGGGGAAAGTAAACCATTTAACAAATTTCAAACAGCCGGTTCTATGAAACCCGTACCTATGGAGATTGATTGATTGAATTAAAATGCGTTGAATGTTCCGCCATGACGATGGATTCTTGCGTTCGATTCATTTTTCTCTGTCACCGAACACAATAGCGGTGATAATTAGTTTACTATGCAAGCTGACACCCATCGAACGACATTGATGCGATGGAACCCAGCTAGGGCATTTCTAATTGCATTGTCGGATTTATTTTTTTCAATCAGCTACAGCCATTCACATACGTTGCATTGTTGCAAACTCACCGTAGGCGTATTTCAACGAAGAGCACCACTAACATCACAATCACCTATGACACCGCAATAATCCTCAAAGCCTACTGGGTAGTGCACTGTTATTTTTTTAATCAAATTAGTTGATTATACCTCCACAACGATCCGGGAAAGTTTTAATTTTCGTTCCGATCACGTTTCACTCACAATGTTCTTCCAGCATCCTCAGCACTGGCGCATGGAACAACACAAATTTTAAATTCAGCACGTACGCAGGTTTGCTTTTGTCCATATTCACCGCAGGATTCTTCGACAAGATGTACGTTCCTTCGAAATTTGTACTGACTAGGTCGGCATTATCAAGTACTAATCCTCGATGTCATTCGCTTTTCTCAGCATGTTCAAGAATTGAAAGAAGTTTTTCCCCCCCACTTTCACGTATGCAAATGGACACCGCACAGACCTCGCGAGGACGGTATGGCTATTCAGAGCCATTCAAGATGCCACGTGGAGAGCGTGGATATCTGACCGCACACACATTTTTGCCCTCACTTTCTCACACAAAAAGATGCCTCGCTACACAAAGCTGGGATTTCCTTCCTCTGTTTGAGCATTCATTTCCCACTTGCCACGCTCCGACGAACACATTCACTTTGCCATTCTTTTCAAACTTTGTCTCCTTTATCCGACACAAATCTGACGTCACTTTGTCGCGATCCAACTTTTTTTTATGGCTTCCACTCGCTTTCCTTCCTTATCTATTCTTCAGATTTGATACATTACACAGATAATCCGACGCCTGCTGGAATGTACATTTCTTTTTTCACTTCAATCTCAGGAGGGTCATCAATCGATTTGGCACAATCCCGGCCTGCTATGTTTCAAGTTACAGCCAAATCACCACCGTGTGGATCAAAGCAACACTCACTCGGGCTCTTTGTATACCTGCAAAAGAAAAGAGCACGGATTGTATGGCCTATTTCCATTCACAAAAAGAAAACCGGAAAGCACATCATCACAGGCACTGGCAAAGGGAGGAACGAACCAGCGACCGACCGACCGACCGAACGAATAGTAGATATCCCAAGTGAACGCACGACCGAAAACCGTCCCGCAACAACGGAGTCTACCGCACTACAGACAAGCACGGTTCAGGATCAACCAGCTGAGAGCCATACACATCCCCAACCATCGCATCGGATGTCGTCAGTGGCATCAGCATCAGCATCAGTAATATCTCAGGTTCGTGCATTTGATGCTTTTTTTTTGTCGTCCTGTGTATGTCTCCTTGCCCTTGTTTTTCAGTTCAGTTCAGTGAGGTGTTGTACCTAGTGCTTTATGATACTGTCAGTCGTCGTCGCCGTCGTCGTCGTCGCACTGAGAGTAATATCCGGAGAATCTCGGAGCAGTTCAGCATCTGAGCGAGCTCAGAGCTGAGCTCGGGGATAGCACATTCGGTGAGATCCCACAGCTGCTGCTGCTTAAACGACGGCGAAACCTTTTGCAGATGATGATGATGATGATGATGATGATGATGGAGCTGAGAGTTGACGTCATTCTAGGATAAAATGGTGAGAAGAGCCGTCGACCCCGAGTAGAATGCGAAGCTACGGGAGAGAAAAGCTGTTCTGCATACGGAGGGTTTGGTTTTCCAATATCCGCTACAGTTTCGATACTTGGCTGGGTGATGGGAATGGAATAGGGATGGGGTTTGTTTTGCATATGTATCTTCAAAAGCTGTTTCTCACTGATACTGTCTGAAAGCCTGACATTAAATAAGTGGGGTAGCCCCGTTATTCACCTTCCCTCCCCAGCTAGGGAGTTTGGCAAAAGAAGTTCCCGTTTAATTCGTACTGTAATTCAAATGGCCCTCGCTCAATTTCAACTTCTATACAATTTTTTACACTTTCATACTCTAACGGAACTGTTCTAAACTCAACATTCTTTATTTAATAAATTTTGCCCTATGTCTCATGTTGACAATAGTAAAGCATTTCCAACCCAACATTTTAAATTGTAGTTTAAATGCTAATAGTTCTGAAAGTTACTCGCTCAGTAAATAAACATCTGCACACAAGTTTGGTTGTAAGTATCTATCGATGTACAGTGGAAAATTTAGAAGCCAAAAAGATTAAAAAATGTAAATGCACATTATTTTTTGAGGATGTTCGACGTTGACAGTTTAGGGGAGGATAGCTAGTGTCCGTGGTATAATCAAAGTTAAAAAAATGTATAGATGATTCAGGGTGTCCCTGGAAGAAAACCTTCTTCAAAAGAATCAGTAGCCGGCGCCAGTGGTGTAGTGGTAAGCGTGACTGCTTTCTAACACCCCAAAGGGTCTGGGTTCAATCCCAGCCGAGGTCGGTGAGATTTTTCTGAGGCATAAAATCTCTTGTCTCGTCTTCCTTCGGAAGGAAAGTAAAGCCATTGGTCCCGGCCCATGTGTGTTGAATGGGTGCGATATCCTACGCAGGTGTGGAAGCTGCCTTCCTGCACATTCGATTGCCGTCAATGGATAGCAATCGATATCCGTCGGTTTGCGGAACAGAGACCGACGTTAAATAAAGGAAAAGAAAAGAATCAGTATCGCGTTATTCTACCAAAGACACCATGAATAGTCCACGCAGAGTGAGACTTAAAACAAACTATCGAAAGTGATCCACGTGGAATGTGAACAGTAGAATTTTTACTCTTCTACTTCTAAAGGGTGTCCACGATGAAATTGCCACACTATGAAATTGCTCTAACTTTTTAACCGTTGGGTAGAATTTAATGAAAATTTGGGTGGATTTAGTTCATAGTGCATTATTTACATCCTGCAAGTTTTAAAGTCCTGTGATCAAAACTCGCGGAAATGGAGTCGAAAGAACAGCTCGTGCGTGATAAAATCTTGCGCATTCATCACGAGAACAAGGATCTCTCGCATCGTTCCATCGCTAAAACGTTGGGAATCGCGAATTCCACGGTGTCGCGAGTGATTAAGCGGTTCGAGGAACGGTTGAACACCGATCGGAAGCCCAGAAGTGAAGGAAAAAGTATTCCGTACAACACCAAAAATCACAACCGCGTAGTTGGGGCCTTCAACCGAAATCTGAACGCCTCCGTTAGGGATGTGGCTAAGAAGCTATACCTAAGCCGAAGTTTTGTCCAGAAGGCCAAAACTAAGGCTAGGCTTCGAACGTTCAAGGTACAAAAGGCCCCTAATCGCGACGAGAAGCAGAACAAGTCCGCCAAAACCCGTGCCAGGAAGTTGTACCTCAACATGCTGACGAAAGTTGAATGCTGCATCATGGACGACGAAACATATGTGAAGGCCGACTTCAAACAGATCCCCGGCAACCTGTTTTTCACGGCCAAGGATAAGTTCAGCGTTCCGGAGCATGTCCTCACTCAGAAGATGTCCAAATTTGCGAAGAAATTCCTGGTTTGGCAAGCCATATGCACGTGAGGGAAGCGGAGTGCACCTTTCGTGACCCAGGACACGATGAACGGACAGGTGTACATAAAAGAGTGCCTCCAGAAGCGGCTGCTTCCTCTCCTGAAGGCCCACAACGTCCCAACAATCTTCTGGCCGGATTTGGCCTCATGCCACTACTCCAAGGACGTGCTGAAGTGGTATGCGGACAATAAGGTCAATTTCGTGCCGAAAATGTTCAACCCTCCCAACACTCCGGAGCTCCGCCCCATCGAGAAGTACTGGGCGATTATGAAGCAGCACCTTCTTAAACGACCTAAGGTAGTGAAGACAGTCGAGGAACTGAAGAAAGTATGGGTTTACATGCAAAAAACGGTTGATTCACAGGTTGTGCAGAATCTTATGGCCGGGGTTAAGGCCAAGGTGCGAGCATTTACGTATGGACTGTAAATAAAATACGAGTAAAATGGTAAAATGAAGTTTAATAGTTATTTCTCAATCCCTGAAAATTTGATGGCAATCGGATGAAAACTCGAATTTTGCGAATCAATTTTGTGTGTGGCAATTTCATCGTGGACACTCTTTACTTCTTACTTCTTACAAGCTATTTGAAATGTATATGGATAATACTATAGTGAATATATAGAAAGTCTTTTTTTTTAAGGCTTTATTAAAGAGATTTTTAGCCTTAGGCTACTTCATCTCTATTATATAGAAAGTGATGAATTGGCAGAAAGTCACTCTAATCAAGAAAAAAAAACTATAGGAAAACCAATACGTTTCTTCATATCAATCTAACAATTCCCCGTTTAGCTCTGCTTTATAAAATGATAGCTGTACTTGGAGTATATTTTCTCAGCTACAACTTTGCCCAAGACTACTTTTCCATTATGTGCGAAGAAAGTTATTATTGATTCAATATGCTAGCGTCTTATGATCATGCTCAGTATAAATCATGGCTACTATGTCACACTGTACAATATAGAGTTGTCAAAAAACTACTTTCTTGATCATGCCATAAGATTGCAGTATTACTATTTAATTTTACGTTTCACTGAAAAACGAAGTTGTAACTGAAAAATGTTTCCCGTAATAATAATAAACTGTAAAACTTTTTATTAGAGCACCATGGAAAAAGACTAGACGACAATTTCTCATAGTAATTTCCAAACAAACTTTGAATGGTTTATTTCAAGTCAGTTTCCAGTCAATTTGATTCAAATTTTGGAAAGCTAATCTGGGCTCAATTTGAAGCCGTTTGAACATTATGGAGTGAAAATTTCAAATGTTGTGTCATTCTACCGGACAGCCCCTAACGTAAAAAGTTAACCTTATCGATTCCGCATGGTTTAATCATAGAGGTAACTCTAAAACCAAACTGGGCTACAAAATGGTGAGTTGACAACCTGGAAGGAGCGGAATACCTAGCCCTGGTCCTCACAAGTTCCTACTTCGCGCCTCCTCGAGTCATAGATAACAAAATACTACCAGCTGAAACATGGACAGCTGTCGTAGTCTGGGCAATGTTGCCAGTCCGGCAATAGCAAAGTGAAGAGGTGCGACGCGAACACTGGCGCGGTAACCATAGTATGGTGATAGAGGAAATGCTTCACTAAACCCGAGCGTCTGTTCACCATGGAGGTGCGGCTCAAAACGGTGTCTGTTCTCCATGTTAGGAGCAGCTGATCACTGTCCTAGTGCCAGCGTGAGACTCTAAACAGAGCTGTGCACGATGGTCCCCCGGCGAGACAGTGGTTAGGGGCAGGCCCAACAAGCCGCCCTGGAAAAAACATAAAGTTGCAAATACTGAAGAAAGAAATACGGATCGGAACAATCGGCACAGACCTACGCAACGAAATAAGGACTACGATTGGAAACTCGGAACATGGAACTGCAAATCGCTTGGCTTCCCGGGCTGCGATAGATTAATCTATGACGAACTTCAACCTCGTAACTTCGAAGTCGTAGCACTGCAGGAACTTTGCTGGACGGGACAAAAGGTATGCAAAAGCGGGCATCGAGCGGCTACTTTCTACCAGAGCTGTGGCACCACCAACAAGCTGGGAACCGGTTTTGTAGTGCTGGGTAAGATGCGCCAACGCGTGATTGGTTGGCAGCCGATCAACGCGAGGATGTGCAAGTTGAGGATTAAGGGCCGTTTCTTCAACTACAGCATCATCAACGTGCACTGCCCACACGAAGGGAGACCCGACGACGAGAAAGAAGTGTTCTATGCGCAGCTGCAGCAGGTGTACGACGGCTGTTCGCAACGGGACGTCAAAATCGTCATCGGCGACATGAACGCTCAGGTAGGACGGGAGGCAATGTATAGACCGGCAATCGGGACAAACAGCCTGCATGCAGTATCGAACGACAACGGCCAACGATGCGTGAACTTTGCAGCCTCTCGGGGTATGGTAGTTCGAAGTACCTTTTTCCCCCGCAAGGATATCCACAAAGCCACCTGGAGATCACCTGACCAACACACAGAAAACCAAATCGATCACGTGCTAATCGACGGGAAATTCTTCATTATCAACGTCCGCACGTACCGCAGTGCGAACATAGATTCGGACCACTACCTAGTTGCAGTATGCATGCGCTCAAAACTCTCGACGGTGCATAACACCCTTCGAAGTCGAACGCCGTGACCCAACATTGAGCAACTACGGGACGC